ATGAATTCGCTTCTAAACTAATTCCATAAATTACTCTAATAATGAGAATCTTGTTATTGTTGGCATTTTTGAAAACCAACTTGCAAGAGAAAGCCGTCCACGGACGAATATACGTATTAGTTGACCAAAATTATCTCTAATTTTCTTGCAAAGCCTAATGGAAATAATCTTATATCTTGTTGAGAAACATATTAATGCTCCTCCGAAATGAGTTAGAAAATGGTATAATTTTTATCTCTTCATGTTTTACTCCCTCACTAGCCATTAACTCTCTACCAAAAAAAAAAAAAAGTTATGAGCAACTATACGATTATTTTTATCCTTTGAGGTTTGTCACTTAAACACTTAAATCTCTTGACATTTAAAATTTTATATATAGACCCTTTAAAGTTTGTACACGCGTAATACTTGGACCTCCTGCCGTTAATGTCCATTAGTTTATTGGTTAATAAATTATATCTAGACCCCTGAAATTTGTAGATGTGTAACACTTAGATCCCTCAAGTTTAAAATATTATAATTCAACTCCTTATTAGTTATGAAACTTACGGAATCTATTAAACGATCAAATGACTCCAATTAAAGATAGAAGATATTGAGTCCATTACAATTTGACACTTTTTTTGATTTTTTAGTTTTATTCTAATAGTATAATTATATGCAAATGAGTGTTGAATTGTGTTCTTTGTTATATTTATATTGATTACTATATGCAGTTCATTTCTTTGAGTCACTTACTGACTTAGGCATAGGAGAGTTAACCTCCGGTGATCCCCTCGGTCTCCGACTTCTTGTTTAGGTGATTGAAGCCTAACAAACGAACGTGTAGGTCGTCTAAATTTTTAAATCAACAATACTAATTATGATTTTATTTAAGACAAAAATAAATTTTTATTTTTGATTTCATTTCAATAAATGACATAATAGAACATTAATTTTGGTTGTAAAGTTTAAAATATTTGATATTCTATCTTTAATTGAAATATTTTTTGTCTAAGTGTAATATTTTAGACTTTAGGTATATAAGTGTTACACGTCTACAAATTTCAAGGGTTCCAAACATAATTTGCTGGCAAACATACTAATGGAAGTGATTGTAAGAGTTTAAGTATTACACGTGTATAAACTTCAAGAGATCTGTATGTAATATTTTTGACCATGAGGCTGTTTGTTACAAGGTTTTCGATGGGTCTATAGAAGCTAGGTTTAAAAAAAAGGGCTTAGGAAGGGCGGTACCTCCAAAAAAACTTAATAAGATAAAAATACACTTTTTACAATAATTGGGATAGAAGTACATATGCTAAAAAAAGGTCATAAAAACCCTTTTACCCCTACTATAAATAGTGCATACCTAATTGAATGTGAAACTTTCAAGATTAGAATGTGAGACTTTTCAAGATTTCTTTGAATATTTGTATATCATTTGAATTTTAAAATTTCATACACACACACACACACATGCACACGTAATACGGTGACATCAAACAGTGACACGCTCAATAAAAAAATAGTAACTTCAAACAGTAACACAGTCAACAAAAAATAGTAACACACTCAACAAAAAAATAGTAACATCAAATAATAACACAAATATATTTGTTGAGCGTGTAACTGTTTTATGTTACTTTTTTTTTGTTGAGCGTGTCACTGTTTGATGTCACTGTATTACTTGTGTGTGTGTGTGTATATATGTGTGTGTGTGTGTATGCATATATGTATATATGAAATTTTAAAATTCAAATGATACACAAATATCAAAAGAAATTTTGAAAGTTTCACTTTTTAATACTGAAAATATCACATTGAAGTAGATACGTACTATTTATGGTAGGGGTAATTATGGAATATATTTTAGAAAAAATTTGAAAATGTGTAGTTATTGACAACTATTTGATGAAAAAGATGACTTAAAGAATGATAAGTTTAGAGGTGGTACTTAAAACCAAATAAGTTTTGGAAAAGGTACTCACATCCTATTATCTCTTAAAAAAATAGTCCAATTCCTCGCTCAATCTCTTGTTTGGATGCAAAAATTCAAAATTGGACTAAAGTTCTGGCCTAGATCTGGCCCAGCTTCTCAAACCCATGAAAGTATGTTTCAACAATCCCCGGGGGGGGGGGGGGGGGAGGGGGGTGTGGGTTTTGGAGGGCCAAACTGGTTTAGATTGAAGATTATGTTTTGTGGACTTGACTATGGTATCGAAGAAATAAATTTGGTACCTTACCTCCAACTTTTACCACTTCCATGGGTGTTTTTATGACTTTTGTTGGTGATTTACCATTATTGTGGATATTTTTACCACTATTGTGAGTGTTTTTTTTCATATTTGTGGTACCTATTCTTATCAATTGCTTTTGGTACAAAACAATTTATCACATTTGTGGATATTTTTAATACATTTGTGAGTGTTTTTATCACATTTGTAGATGTTTTTACTACTGTTATAGTAACTATTTTTACCATTTTTTAGGATATCACAATAGTGGTAAAAGGACCCACATATGTTATAAAAGTGACCACAAATGCGATAAATAGAGGTATAATATCAATTTTTTTTGGGTATCATAGTCAAATCCTATATTTGTACTCCCTTAAACCCATTTCTTGTCTACCCTACAAATGTGAATGTACCAGAACTTGTTGGTTTATTAGCACAAGCATTTGAGTTTTGTGAATGTGAGACAAAGCATGATCCCATTTTGGTGCATCATTGTTTGACAAAATTCCTTATTGTTTCCTAACTTCTAAACATCGTCTTTTAGTATGTATAGTATATGATGAGAAGACATTATGAAGAAATAAAGACTAGAGTTAAGCATAAACAAAATGCATAAATATAACTTTCAGATAATCACCTCTTACTAAAGATTGGATGAGAAACTAATCACTCTTCATGGTTTTGTTAAAGCTAAAAAAGTGAGTGATGCTCATTCCTCCAAGTAGAAGAGTTACAAGGTAAAATATTTTACACAAGGAGCCGATCTTCGACAAAGAATGAGTGAATCACGTTCCACCCTTCACGGCTTGGGTAAAGCTCTAGAAAAGTGAAAGAGTTTCACTCCTCTAAGGGAAGAAGGAAGCTCAAACAATGGACGTAAAGAAAGCAATAACACAATAAAATAAATCAATAATACAATAAAATAAATCAATAATATAATAAAAGAAAGCAATAAGCAATAAGGAAAGCAATAATACTTTTAGAGGGTTTTCTACTACCAAAAGATGAATGATTTACAAGTCATAAGGGGTGGTATTTATAGGCAACAAGGGAGGGTGAAAGTTTTGTTTGGTGGCTTTGAATTACATGAAAATCTTGTTTGGTGACCTTGAATTACATGAAAGTCTTGTTTGGTGGTCTTAAATTCTTTGATCCTCTTTTGTTTTAAGTTTTGATAATTGGTACCCTAGTAGTTTGTAGTTTTGACGCACAAAATCTTAAAAAAAATAATAATTAATTCATTATCCTTTATTCACACACTAACCCTAATTTGACTTATTTTAACTAGTTTAACATTGTTTAACTATTACAATTGACCTATTAACTTAATTAAATTATACATTAATTAGAGTTAATCAATCATTATGCTTTGTCATTTAACAAAAACAACTTCAAGCATTAATTTTCATAGGATAATTAAAGATACAAGTATTTTTAGATGTACAATTATTTTATATATTCTAGTATGTTGAATATTATTTTATAAGCACGTTTCGTATAACTAATTTTCGGACTATAATAAGTGATGATGACAAAATAGCCTCGTGCAAGATCAACAGTCAAGTGTATGATAAGATGTAATTAATGAATAATTAATAGAACAATCAATGACAATAATGTAAATATCGAGTCAACACATAGATATATAGTGGTTCGGTCCGAGTGACCTATTCTACTCTGAGAAATGGCAACGGTGGCGAGAAGATCTATATTAATGAAGTAATAAGGTAAACAAGAGAGAGAGAGAGCAATGGTTAGCTCCGATAAGGATACAATAGTTAGGAGAGAGAAAAGTTATGTGTGTGTAGAAAGGTGTAGAGAGATCTCAAGAGGTATTTAGAGGTGTCTCCAGAGGTGTAAAGTTATGTCATCTTATGTAGAGAGAACTTATAATTTATAGGCACGGAGCCTTGGTTAAAGCGATGACGTAAGGGCAAATGTACTAATTCTCTGAGTCGCTACAAAAGGTAAGTGCCATAAAAGGTTGCCTTGATCTTCTAGAGTAAATATCCTGATAATTGCTCTTCGTGTGCTCTAATTCTTCTTGGACTCCTTGGAACTTGGGTTGGTTCGAATTCACAAACGAGGTTTGACTTTTCTTTTAGTTGACTTGGGCTTAATTGATTTATTGGGCCTAGTCTGGTTAGATTTGGACTCGTCATTTGCCCCCCATATCCCAAGCCACCAATTGTATACGAGAGAAGGGGGTTGAGGGCATGAGTGTATTCTTTATTTGGATAGATAGGGGGTTTCTTGATATTCACGATAGTAACTTTTTCTGCTTCCCTATTTCTGTCTGCAAAAATTCTTTCCCTATCTTGAGTCACCATTGCAATGTCGATCGCCCTTTTTCTTCATTCTTCCCTTTAAAGCTACAAATTTCCATTGAAGGTGAGGAGGGATTTGGTGGAGAGGGCTTCAATCAGACGATGTCCCAGGAGGAGATTCCTTAATGGAGAGGAGGGGGCGGCTCAAGGCAGAGCAGGAGTGGGTGGCGCCATCGGAGCAAGCAAAAAGGCCAGGCAGTTTGGCACGACACCAGAAAGGCAGCGATGCCCTTTCCAAGGAGGCTCATGGCGACATGGCTATAATGGAGGCTGAAAGATCTATCCAAGTAAGGGGAAAAGTCGAGGAAGAATTCAGAGAAGGAGGCACCGACGACAGTGCAGCATCAGGCTGTGCCAGAGCCAAACCCTAAGCACTAGGCCACGCCAGCGAGCTGCTGGGTGGCACCAGCGAGCTGTTAGGCGGCACCAGCACATTGGGTGGTGTCGGTAGCAGGTCGAGCGGTGGACACTTGATCCTGGGTAATGTCATCAAGAAGGATGGTGAAGTGGGGGAGCATGTGGACGACGCCTGGGGCACTGGGAGTGGCGACACAGGAGCAAAGGTACGCGGTGCCATTCAGACAGGCAATGCCAAGCTGGCGCTGGACCGAGGTGAGAAGGGTGACACCCTTGGTGGCTCCATGTGCATGGACGATGTCAGGCAGACTAGAGCCGACGCTGGGCTAGGTGGGCTCGAGGTAGACAACTCTAGCAGATGTGAGCCAGGTGAAGGCCATGCCAGGGCGAGATCTAGGGGATCACAGGCACTGAGGACAACGTTGGTGAGGGAGATGATGATGCCAATGTAGGCTTGGCCATGGACTAAGCCTCAGAAAATCTCCCATTAAAAGTCACGCAACATTATTTTGGGTTGGGTCATCATCTGGATCCAACAGATACTGGTATGCTCTTGACATTGACCTTGATTCTGTCTTGATTTTGTTTGTTGGGAGGCTTCTCGAGACATCGAGTGAAGCAAGGGGACTACTGGAGATAATGGCTCAAAGGTGACTTCCATATTCAGCTCCATTGACTGCGATGATTATATCGCTTGTATTGTATCTTCGTATCGTATCCCTCTTGCTTCCATGTGTTGTCGGGCAGAGGAGGATGAGCTAGCGTGTAGTTACTCCTTGGGTGAGATTGTTCTTTATGAGGATGCCTTAGAGGAGGGTTTGAGGTTCTCGTTACCTGGGTCCATATGTCGTGTTCTGGGACATCTGTCACTGGCTCCTAGGAGGTTGGCTCCCAATGGGTGGAGAGTGATACTGGCATTCTTCTGATTGTGGAAGCTGGTTCACAGTGCTGATGTCCCTCCCCCATTCGAGGAGTTTTTGGCTACATATGTACTTCTGGATAACCCCGTTCCTCATTAAGAATGGTGTCGTTTCACCTCAAGGTCGAGCAAGTTCATCACTGGGCTTCCTTCGAACTATCATAGCTGGAAGTCTAAGTTCTTATTTGTAGGAGGCAAGTGGGCCATCGAGGGAGATCATGACCTAGTGCCTCCGAGGTGGGACACCGTCCCAAGGACTAAGCTAGGTAAGGATTCCACTTTCGTTTTTACTTCTAGTCGTCACATATTTGTTCTCACTGTATGATTGGCTTCCATTTAGTTTCACCTGCATTATTTGCGGAGCAAGAGAGTAGGCTCTAGATAGTTCGTGACAATCCTTTCAAGGAATTCTCGGAGATTATGTTCGCGTCAGGTAGTCCCAAGGTTTCTCATAGGCCGAAGAGGAAAGGTACTTGATCCTTCCAATAGACTCTTGATGGGTACGACATTGCTAATTTTTTATGTCACACCAAGTTTGCAAGTACTTCTATTTATAGGGCGATGGTGGAGGTTGTCTACGCTTCTAGGGTGACGTCTTCCCCTCATTCTTCTAAGAGGTTAAGGTTTGATGCCCCCGATGTTTCTCGGCTGAGGTCTGTCGTCCAGGATAGTCCTCGAGAGGCGAGACTTGGTGATGCCCCCACTCCTTCCCCTGCTATGGTACCATCGCCTTCAAGAGTTCATTCCAGTATGATCGTTGGGATTAGGGCTTCAGTGCAGTCTTCTACAAGGACTGGGGCTCTACCTGGCTGTCCTACTTCTAGTAGTGGTTTGGTGTCCATGTTGTAGAATGTGAATTTGGCCAAGGAGCAACTATGGGAGTTTTTGATCACCGCTGAGATCCAGGAGGTTGGTTCTCGAGGTCTAGAGAGCGTCATCGACATAGTGATAGAGGGCTTCGCTTTGGTATGCCCTTTACTCATATTTGATCTTGTACTTGACTTCCTTTTTTTCATATTCTAGCTTTTGGATATCCGTAGGTGGCTGTTGCTTTTCCTTGCTTATTTTCAAGCACATTGAATCTTAGAGAGACACTTAGTGGTCCTAGGACATTTGTCACTGGCACCCCGGAGGTTGGTTCCCAATGGGTAGAGTGGTGATACTGGCATTCTTCTCATTATGACAGCTGGTTCACAGTACTGACGTCCCTCCCCCATTCAAGGAGTTTTTGGCCGCGTATGAGCTTCTAGATAACCTCTTTCCTCATCAAGGGTGGTGTGGTTTCGCCTTGAGGTCGGGCAAGTTCATCATTGGGCTTCCCTTGAATTGTCATAGCTAGGAGTCTAAGTTCTTTTTTGTTGGAGGCGAGTGGGCCATTGAGGGAGATCGTGACCTAGTGCCTCCGAGGTGGGACACCATCCCGAGGACTAAGCTAGGTAAGGGTTTCACTTTCGTTTTTACTTCTAGTCGTCACAAATCTGTTCTCACCGTATGATTTGCTTCTATGTAGTTTCACCCGCATTATCTATGGAGCAAGAGAGTAGCCTCCAGATAGTTCGTGACCATCCTTTGAAGGAATTCTCGGAGATTATGTATGCGTCAGATGCTTGAAAAAATTCCTTGTTGTTTCCTAACCTCTAGCCATCACCTTTTAGCATGTATAATATATGAATGAAGGGGAGTGTCACTCTCCTAGAGATGATGTCAAAAGAAAGGGCAACGAAATGGTGGATTAATGAGATTTCAAATGTGAGTATGTGTGAACAAAAGTGCTCTCCAAGCGCAAGGAGACTTTCGCAGATCGTGTTTTACTTGGTGGTATTTCAATGTCGTTTCCACGGGGAAGGAAGTAAACTGAGGAGAAGGTGATTTTGGGAGAAAGAAAGTGTAAAATTTTTGATTGTTGGAAGTTGTTTGGTGAAGTTGTTTTGGTGCTAGTAAAATGAGAAACAAATGTTGGCAAATCCAAGAGGTCACTCCAATAGGAATACCGTCAACTCGAAACCCTCCTCCAATAGAGTATGAATGAACGATTGATTCGTGGGAAGCTAGGGGTAAGATTGATGAGTATCTAAGCATAAACCGTGACTAGGCCTACGGAATATCAAAGACTCACCAAGTTATCCACCCTCAACCTAGTCAAATTGAACCATTGAACTCTGAAAGAGGGGAGGAGAATGAGTTGAAATGGTATACCCAAGTGGAGGTTCCTCTTGATTTTGCCAACTAAGAGATTTAGCTATTCATGCTTAAAATAAAGACAACAATATGATGAGAAGATATTATAAAGAAATAAAGACTAGAGCTAAGGATAAACGAAATGTATAAATATAACTTCCGGATAATTACCTCTTACTAAAGATTGGATGAGAAATTACTCACTCTTCATAACTTTGTTAAAGTTAGAAAAGTGAGTAATGCTCATCCCTCCAAGTAGAGGAGTTACAAGGTAAAACACTTTACACAAGGAGCCGATCTTCGACAAAGAATGAGTGAATCACGTTCCACCCTTCACGGCTTTGGTCAAGTTATAGAAAAGTGGAAGAGTTTTACTCCTCTAAGGGAAGAAGGAGGCTCAAGCAATGGAAATAAAAGAAAGCAACAATACAATAAAAGAAAGCAATACTTAATGTAAAAGAAAGCAATAAATTAAAAGAAAGTAATAATACAATAAAAGAAAGCAATAAGCAATAAGGAAAGCAATAATACTTTTGGAGGGTTTTCCACTACCAAAAAATGAATGCTTTACAAGTCCTAAGGGGTGGTATTTATAGGCAACAAGGGAGGGTGAAAGTCTTGTTTGGTGATTTTGAATCTTGTTAGGTGACCTTGAAAAGTCTTGTTTGGTGGCATGAAAGTCTTATTAGGTGGCCTTGAATCTTGTTAGGTGGCATGAAAGTCTTGTTAGGTGGCCTTGAATTCTTTGATCCCCATTTGTTTTTAGCTTTGATAATTGGCACCCTATTAGTTTGTAGCTTTAATGTAATTGACTCCCCAGTAGTTTGTAGCTTTGACGTACAAAACTCTGAAAAGAACAACAATTAATACATTATCCTTTATTCACACACTAACTCTAATTTGATTTATTTTGACTAGTTTACTTTATTCAACTAACACAATTTACCTATTAAATTATGCCTTAATTAGGGTTAATCATCAGATCGTCCCAAGGTTTGTCATATGCCGAAGAGAAAAGGTACCTGATCCTTCCAATAGACTCTTGATGATTACAACATTGTAATTGTTTTTATCTCACACCAAGTTTGCAGGTACTTCTATTGATAGGGCGATGGTGGAGGCTTTCTAGGCTTCTAGGGTAGCGTTTTCCCCTTCTTCTTCTAAGAGGACAAGGTCTGATGCCCTCGATGTTTCTCGGCTGAGGTCTGTCTGCTAAGATAGTCCCCAAGAGATGGGACTTGGTGATGCCCCCACTTCTTCCCCTGCTGTGGTATCATTGCCTTTAAGAGTTCATCCCAGTATGGTTGTTGGAATTGAGGCTTCAGTGCTGTCTCCTACGAGGACTGGGGCTCTGCATGACTATCCTACTTCTAGTAGTGGTTCGGTGTCCATGTTGCAAGACATAAATTTGGCCAAGGAGTGACTGTGGGGGTTTGTGACCACCGTTGAGATCTAGGAGGTTGGTTCTCGAGGTCCAGAAGGCGTCATCGACACAGCAATGGAGGGCTTCACTTTGGTATGCCCTTTATTCATCTTTAATCTTGTACCTGGTTTCCTTTTTTCATATTCTAGCTTTTGGATATCCGTAGATGGCTGCTGCCTTTGTTTGCTTGTTTTCTAGCATGTTGAAGCTTAGAGAGGCTCTTAGTGGTCAGGCAACAGAGAGGTAGGCAAGGAGGGCTGTTGAGGAGCAATTAGAGCTCAAGAGGCAGGTGCGAGAGGATGTCGAGAAGTAATCGAGGCTAGCATACGAGAGAGCTGCCGCACTTGAGATCGAGCTTCAAGCGTCCCGCGAGAGAGCCCCCCTGTTGGAGGTTGATAGAAAGGTTGCCTGAGCGAGAACAGAGATAGAGCTGTGAGCATCCCGTGAGAGGGCCACTGTGGCAGAGGCTAACTTTTGAATAGCTCTTGAGAGAGCTACTAGGGCAGAGGTTTACTGCATGGAGATAGAGAAAAGAGAGATGCTGCTGAGAGGGTCATGGTAGACGCCTTTATTGATGGCTATGAGGAGCTGAAGGAGAATGTCTCAATAGGTTTTCTCGCTTATAATTTTTCTAGCTTTGTCCCCTATGATGCTCCCAAGACTAATGACAATGAGGCGAGCGATGGTGTGAGCGGATTAGGGGCAAGTGGGTGACGTCAGGAGCATGGTATCTTTTTATTTGTGTTTTTGTTGCTAGACCATGTTCTATCATTTGTAAATGCTTTATGAACTTTTATGAGATACAACTTTTTTGAAAAAGTCTTGCGAAATTTTATTTCATAATCCGAAGTAAATATTAAGGAAATTTGACCAAAACAAAAATAGATAATCTAAATGGTGACTACTAACTTATACATTCACTGCCTTACCCT